GTGTAATTCTTTCATGTCATCTGACATCTTCATCCTCAGTTTGCACCAACGATCTTGATGTTGTGTTTCCATTATTGCATGGCCTATCAGAGAAGCACTGATCGCTGTGCATGTACCTACTTGCAGGTTAAGCGAAAAGTACAATCACATCTCTTGGGCAAATTGGCTAAAGTTAGCCAGCCCCGCGATCTTTCGCAAGCGTCTCAAACCTTCTCATAGCCCACCTTAAACGCTGAAACCAAAGCCCCACCTCGGCAACCTCGCTGTTGGCCGGTTCTTGCAGGAGCACCTGGCAGGCAGCTAGGCATTGAAAGACGTCAGTGGCGGATCTTGGCAGTTCTTGTTTTGGTGTTTGACCCAAAGAAATACGTGGGTGGTCGAAGAGAGTCTTTTGGTGGGGCGCTGAAATGGGAAATGCTTCATCTCAAATCCAATCCGCCCAGCAAATCTTCGGCTGGAGCAACAAACACCCAGCCTGCTCCTCAACCGCATCCACACTTGCGAGTGGATCCACCGGCGCAGGGTCGCACAATTCGGGCTGATCACACAATTCCTGCAAAGACTTGCGGATGGCTCCACTTTGCTAGGCTTGAATGGCTAATCGCTGGGGGAACTTCTTTTGAGCTGTGCATGCAAATAAATTTGAATTCTACCAAAACTTGCAGTTGTGCTTGAATGGAAGGTCGGTCTGGCAGCAGAGTGAGCTTTCTCTGCTCATTTGATTGGACAGATTTGCGGATGGGATCAGACTTGATCGGGAGCTCACCGGTGGACATCGTTTTTCATCACCAGGGTAGGCAAGACCACTCCTCCTGATCTTCGTTCGCAGGCCCAGCCAAGACTGAGGATACATCCACCTCGGGTACGACTCTCCATTCCCCTCACCAAGATAGATCAATGGAGAATTTTATAACTCTAGGATACTCTAGGGCTGTGTATGTGCAAGAAACGAAAAGTCTTGTAGGCGATCGCAGCCACATAAGTACATTGCCACTTCTTCCTCTGGCCTTTCTCGCCCAGCTGAAGGCTCTGGATGAGAAAACATGCAAAATCTCGGGGGTATGGGATTGAGGTGTTTTGCTCAACTTGCGAAAATCAAGATGTTCCAACGCATGCGGACTCGAGAATTGGGTGAATTCTCCTCAAATGTCAAAGTGGACGCCATGATGAAACTGTGTACTGAGTGACCTCTACTTTGGAGTATCCATTCTCCAAAATATGGCCTTTTTCCTATCAAAATGAGGTCAGTTGAGTTCTAGGTATATAATGATTAAATACCTAGACCCCGCAAAAGACGTATTTTTTCTGGTGGGGGCAATTTTCAGGCGAAGCTCAAAAAACCAACACAACAAGCAGTTTTGGTGTCGATGTTTGTCACTTCTGCGTTGTTTTTTTGTCACTTCTGCGTCATTTGGGCGTCATGTTTTCTATCGCGAACTTGCTGCATTTTTCTGCGTCATGTTTTCTGGCGAGACGGAAAAAAACATCGTTTCAGGGTCCAGGTATACATATCTTCATCACAGTACGCCATTTCTTGCTGGTGTTCTTTATGCAAGGCGCCTTCTCATCAACGTTGCCCGGATTTGCAGCCTTAACCAACAAGACATAGCAGCCCATCTACAGTGCTAAAAGGATTCTTCGTGATGTTTTGTGTTGTGTAGGCTGACCCAAATGGAAAGGTATGCTGGCAGCTAGCATCTGTTACCTAGTTTGGCCAATGCACTTTAATGTAGACTCTTGATTATAAACCCCCCCCATATGACCATATGAAAAGGAGTTTCCATTTCAATTGGGTGCTTTTTTAATCAAGAGTCTACATTACAATTGTCCAACAACGACAATTCGAGACACCTGAAAACACCCTGAGGCCTGAGGCCTGTGCGATTTCTGCTTCGATGGATATCGCTGGGGCAGGTGTGGAGGTTGGCAAGGTCGCCTGCCGCATGGTGGGTATCCAAAAAGTGAGAAACAAAAAACGCGTTAATGAAGAACGGAGCGCTTCCAGTGTCTGTACTGGGCTCCTCGCTCAACATAATAACCTTGCAGTTGTCACTTAGTTCAAGTTGAAAACCAAAGCCGCCTCTTCATGTTCTGCATCTTCACGTGCGATTGCTTCACTCATTGCAGCCTGAAACAACATTCAGCTGCAGCTGCAGCTAGCGAGGTTCCTATAGCGATGATTTGGCAGTTCAATTCTCACAGATTCTCAGCTCTGTCTCATCTTGTCTCAACACTTTCCAACAAAAGTGGCCAGCAAGGCCCCTCTATTTGCTTTCTTGGCAGGTTTTTGGGGCGGTCTCCCTGATCTGTGGGGCACATCCTTCATCTGTTCACATCACAACTCCATGTCCAGCTCCTCTGCTCGAGCGGATCCTGCCTCTTCCAACACCTCCGCGTCCCCCAGCAGTGCAGCGGATCCGCTCGAGGTCCGCGACAGCGGCTCCTCCACGGCTTGAGGACCCGCCTGCTGTGCCAGGAGCGTGGCGAGGCGAGCAGCAGGGTGTGGGTTCGCCCGAAAAATAAAAACGCGCCGTGCTTGGGTTCCGAAGGCGTTTGTTCCGAAGGACGCAGGTGCTGCAAATGATTTCAAACTGGGATGACAGGGTTGGATTTTAGCGTGGTAATATAGTTGGTAAGGCCTTCCTCAATTCACATAGTGATCATCTTTTACCAACTGTTGCTGGTGTCCTGCGACACACCCTAGCTTGGATGAGATGTCAATCCTTTCCGCTCATCAACCACCGAAAAATTCGTGCGCGCGCGCGCGCGAGCCAGGCCTCTTCATCCTGTCCAACCTGCACCAAGTGACTAGGTCACCCAGTGGGCCGGTCGGCCGAAGAACCCCATGCTGGGATGTGTCCAGGTGGGTGAAGGCCCGTCGCCTCTTACCGGTGAGTGTGGTGTTAAAAGAAAGAAATCCACGCTGACTCTGACAGAATGTCTTGCTTGCCCTCTCTCTTGCACCCTAGTCACCCTAGTCTTCATCCCCCTCTTTGCACCCTCTCCGTCCGTTCCCAGCGACCTCGGCGACCTCGGCGACCTCGGCGGCGACCGGGGCGAGCTGTTCGGCAGCCACAGCGGAAGCGCCGCAAGCGCTCGCGCTCTCCTACGGGTGGAGCGCTCTGGACAAAGCGAAGAGAGCTCTCCGTCCCATCAACTGGTGCACGCTTCAGTTGACAGTTTCAATCCAACAACTCTCATTGCTGTCTACCTACGGACCTACGCTGTCTACCTTCCAACCGGAAGCCCCCCTTCTCAAAAGACCCCCCTTCGTGAACTTCAAACCACACCCCCCACCTTCACCCCACCACCCGTCACTCTTCGCTTCGCCCCAGGCGCCAAGCTGAATGTCCGTCCTCGCAAGCTTCTCTTCGTTCCGGCACCTCGTTCCGGGGAGTCAGAGGACGCCGGTCACCGCGACCCACCGGGCGCCGGACCAGTGCCGGACCATTGGGTCAAGCGGGGACGGAATGCTAGGACCATTGGGGTGGGGTTTTTGGAAGCGACGGACCGAGGTGGACGGAGCACTGAAAGCTCTAACAACGCAAACAAACTCTGCTCCACCCAAATCCGGATGGGATTTTTGGAAGCACCCAATTCACCACCACCAGTTGAATGAAACACGGAGTCTGCTGGGAGGTAGCTGGAGGGTGGTTGGGTCGGCTTCCAGTGCCCGGGCACATGCGGTTCCGGTTCCGTGCCAACACGCCCAACCGCTGGCGGTCTGCTGTTCGACCTGCGCGTCGGCGACCCCAGTGCAACGACCCGTCCGGTGAGTGGACCCACTAAACGGTGGAGGCGTTGCATAGTCGGTGGCGTGCCATCTGAGAGTCCCACCAGTCGCTTCTCTTCCAAAAGAGCTAGAAGCCTCAGCAGAAGATGAAGCTGCGCATTGGTAAAGATCTCCTGGTGAGTTGGGCCTCGATATGCCTCGATCCGATTGGTGATTCGTGCGGGTGGTTTGAAAAAAGGCCGAGACAGGAGACCTTCCAAGTATGAATGAGAACCGTCAGTTTCTACCGGTATTATCCGGTATTATCGTCTTGTTGGGTGGAGTCTGGTATTCGTACAGGGCTCACCAATTTCCATTGAAACCAGACCAGAACTTCCAGAACCCTCGGTTCAAGAAGATCTTCTATTTCTATCCTCTTCCCCTCTCTTTGAGATGGGACAAAAAAAGCAACGGCCACTCACTCACTCGGTCTACTCGGTCCACTCGCCAGCCCCAACTCTCTCCTCAACTCTCCGTGTCGATACGGTCCACCATCCGAGCAGCGGTCGATCCGAGGTGGGACTGTCGAGCATCCGATCCGTGCCACGGCGCAGGACTTCCTCGCGCTCCGCGTGTCGGCCGCGCTGACGCGAGAGTTGCTGTGAAGGGAGATGCGGTGAAGCGTTTGGGCACTGTACGTTGGGTTGGGAAAATGGGACGGTCCATCGAAGCTGTTGTTGAGGTGGTGTGACAAATGCTGCAGGAAATGTTCGTGAAGCATCTGATCCTTCACAAAAGCTGTCCATGATTGAAGGCTTTGGATCAGCCTTGGGATCAGTTCGAAGGTTTTCATTTCTGACGAAATCTGCTTTTGGATGTCTGAGTTTGTCGTAATCTCTGAGTTTTTCCGGATGTCTGAGTTCGTTCGGATGCCCGAGTTCTTTGGTCACTACAAAGTCGAAGTTTTCAAGCAAGGCTGAGTGGTTTCCCGTCCTCGACGAAGCCTGTTGGGTACTCGTCCTCTATGTGGTCCAGGGGAGCCTGAAACGGCTCGTTCGGTGCATAGATGGAAATGGAAACACAGCTCGTCCGACCGACTTCCCTGGCGTTTTGAAAAAGCCACCGGCTTTGCCACATGTAACTCGTTTGCCACAAGTCAAATCTCTACAAGTCTGGCCTCCAGCGGTCTGGGCCTCCAGGCCTCCTCATAGCAATCGTAGCACGCCTTGGCGTTTTCATTCACCTGCACGGACGGACGGACGTTAACCGAACAGCCCCATCCCTCTCTCCCAACAGGAGGGCCACCTCTTCAGGTCCCGAAGACAGTGGCACTCCACCCAGTAGAGGAGAAACCCGGGAACAGCTCGGTGGACCCGGCGGATGCCCGGGCACCGTTCGGGGTGCCCGGTGGAGGCAGTGGCAAAAGCTCAACAAGCCAACATCCCCGTCAAGCGAACCCCCCCGGGCCCACGCCGATGCCTTTTCTTTTCAGAAGCCCGAGTTAACAAGCCGTCTTCTCTGCTCTAGTTGATTCGGAGTTGCTGCAAATCAGGTGAAATGGATCGATAAAAGATTTGCACTCAGAACATGTCCATGGGCCCCCACAGTAAGCGCGCGCGCTTTGGGGGGGCATTCGACGCTTCACGAACAGACGAAACGAAATGTGCAAGAACCGCTTCAGGAATAGGTCCACCCTGCGAGATAGACTTCTGAACATCAAAACCTGTGCATGGAATTCCTGTGAATTGGTGGAAGCCTTGAGTGTTGGTTTATAATATTTTGTGGATCCCTATCAAAGATTGGTTCACGACTCCCAAAATCATCTCAAACGACCGCAGCGGCCTGATCAAGGGCAGATTGCAGCACCGTGTCCAGCCCGGTCGCGAACTTACCGCCTGACGGTGCAAAGCGTGTGCACTGGAGCAGACCAGCGGCAAATTCACGAAACAGAAAGAAGTAGGAACAGTTCCTAACGGTTGGGAGGCAAGCTGCCCCCTCCAAGTGACCAATGGAGAGGTTCTCTTGGAACCACAAGAAAGGCATAGGCGGCATAGGCATAAGATGGCATAAGAGACCTTTATACACCCTGGAAAATTGACGTGGAACCTGGAAACCACGTCGGGTTGTAGAGGAAAATCGTCTTTCAGTCTGGTCCATGCCATCAGGTTCCATGTGGGTCTCTTCCCGGGTGTAATGATATGATATCCATTCGAGGCGATGCTCTGCTGAGGCGGGCAGGCCTGGCACAAAGTTGGAGCCTTTCAATGGCCTCGGCACAAGTAGCAGGTGGCTGTGCATGGGTCAAACCACACGTGGCAGGCCACGGCGCTAAATGTAAAACATGGCAAAGAAATCCAAGGGCGGCTGGGTAGATGTTGGGTAGCACAGGTTCGTGGAGGCCCCCTTGTGTATGTTGCGTACTTTGCAGCCGCTCCATGGTTCCTCCAAAAGAAGAAGAAAACTTAACTGATAAACCTGGGTGTTCTTCTGAAATCTACTGCTACACCACTGTGCAGTCTGGGCTCACACACGCTAGCACGGTGATCGTGTCTTCCTCTTCTGCCACCTGCACAATTGAAAGATATGTCCAGCATTTCTCACAGAAAGGACTGTCAAATTACACCGGCATGGACCCCAGAGACCAAAACAGTAAGCCACACGCACAGAAACATGAGAGTTTCCAGTGACAGTGAGTGGATCCAACGACACCTCTCTCGGTATATCACTTCACACACGTCGTCCTCTTTTCTTCGGGCTCCGCAACCCGGCACTTGCCGATCACACAGGCCAAGTGGGGGAGACAAGTGAGCAGCAGCAAACACATGCAGACAAGTGGGGGGACCACTGGGGAGAGACAAATGGGGAGGCAAGGCAGCAGTGGCAGCGGTGGACCAAAACGCCAGGAAGCGACCCAGATGCCGACCAAGGCGACGCAATGAGGACCTCACCCATTGACCGACTGAACATCTTCAAATCTGCGGTCACCCCAAAAAATTACACCAGCATCAACCCCCTCACAGCAAAGCTGTTGGCCAAATGGAGGATAAGGTTCGACCCTCAACCCCCCGCCTGGACCCACGTCCGTCGAGAGCGCGCATCGGGGAAGGTGGCTTTGAGGTCCTCTTCGGGGTCGACCGCCTTCTCTTCGGGGTCGACCGCCGGCTTCTCGCTCAGTTTCTCGGGTGTCTCGTTCCGCGTCAGCTGCTTCAGCTGGTTCGGATCGCAGTTCTCGTCCGGAGCTTCCTTCACGGCCTCCACCGGGGCTTCGTTCACCGCCGGGGTGTCCACTGGGCCGGTCACGCCGGTCACGTCGTGGGCAGCGGGAACCAGCGCTCGCTCCGGGAGGGCCCGTTCCTCGGAGGCGAGGCGAGGAAGCCAAAAGGATGGATAGGTCGCGGACGCGGGGGGATGGAATTTCACGTGTCGAGCAGAGAAAAAGTGGATCAAAGGTGATCAAAGAACTCTAAATCGATGTTGGTCACTTTTGTCAGACTTTTCCGGGCTACACGAGTCAAGTGGACCTCAAAAAGAGGGTGAGGGTGTCACCTCACCTCATCTCTTTTCTACAGCTTTTGCATGGCGCTAAGCCGCCAAGGTCCAGGCACTGAGAGGGTCTTCATAGATGCCAGGAGACCTCAAGGCGCGTCCGAACCGAACCAGGCAACCGGGGCAGGCCCAGATCCGCTAGGCCCAGATCACCCCTTTCAGTGGAGGAGCCGGAGCAGGTCAGAAGTCAGAGGGACACAAAAATTTGGGGGTTTGGGGTGTCCAAAAACCAGGCCTCCTTCAAGAAAAGTATCCTTACTATCTACGGGGTGGACTGTGTGAACCCTTCAGAAAAACCATGTGTTCTGGATTCTGATCAGTGTCCGTGCTTGCCTTGAAGACTTCCATCCTTGGACAGTGCGGTCTCTTTGGAACCCCCTTCGAGTGCCAGAGGGTCTGCAGCCCGTTCGTTGAACGACATAAGGTTGCTATAGTGCCAGCACCGGCCGGTGCGGAAAGGACGACGATGAAGTAAGACCAGCTGGTTGGCTTCATCAGATTCATAGGGCCGGATGTGGGAAAGGAGCCTCCCCTAGGAGCTTCTGAGGAAGGTTGAAACTTGCATGAATGCAAGTTTACACAGTGGCCCAACCGGGCCAACCTGTGGATTGAACTCGTTTGAAACGTGTGGAGTTGGGTCCTTGTGAATCTGAGCGAACCTGACTTTTCCCATCATTTCAAGGGTGAAGAGTCATGGAATAGGGAGACCCCCTGGAAGCTCGCCCAACTGGTCTATTTCCAGAACCGAACCCCAGCAGGTCGGAACGCCCGACCGACCCTTGCTCTCCCATGTCTTTGAGCTAAACCCACCCATCCCGTGAACGCGAGCGAGCTTCACGACCGCGACCGTCCCCCCAAAAACACCCACGGAGAACCCCGCCTCGAGTCGGAGCGCCTGAACACGACCCGCCCTTGGACCGAAGCTCAGTCCGCGGCTGTGGCTCGGTCCCCCGTCGCACCTGCTGCGTGACGCGTGACGCGTGCGTCGGAGTCCGGGCCGAGTCTTGTTTCGTCTGCGTCCTTAGTCCGAGTCCCGCGGTGTGTTCACCCTATCTTTTGTTGAACAAAACCGTCTCCTTTTTGCACAGCTGCGCTGGCTTCCCCCGAGGCATCCGCGCGGCAAAAACGGCAAACATCGATGGTTTCTTACCGTTTTTACGGGGGGGTCGCCCCTTTGTCTCCTACCATATCTGAGGTAAAGACGGTAAACATTAAATGTCTTAAGACATTGTTTTAATAAATGCTAAAAAAAGACCCCAAAATTAGGGAGACGCTGGTTTCCCACATTCCAACCCACCCACACTCCGTTCCAACCAAGAAAACACCCCGCTCACCCGCTCACTTGGGCACCTCCTCCGGTCTCCGGGTCTCCGGCAGCGGCAGCACGTCCGACCTGCCACCGCGCGCGAAGGAGCCGAAGGAGCCGAAGGAGCCGAAGGAGCCGAAGGAGCCGAGCCGGAGGGGTGGTTTGGTCCTCCTTCTTCTGTCTTCGGAAAGCCAAGCGTTGAATCGAACCAAGGTGTTTGGGTCGTTTGGCCGCAGTTTTTCGGTGAAACACCAACTTGGACTGCTCTCTCAGAGAGGGTAAAACACCGTGAGAGAGACCCGCAGGAAATGTGTTTTGGTCACCTTGGAGGTCACCGTCCAGCTTCCAAAGAACCAAGGTGACCCAAAAACAAATAGGGAAAACCACCCATGGTTCCGCATGCTTTGGGCCGCCCATTTCTGGGGCCCCTTCCTTGTGCAGCCTCCGACGAGAGACCAGAGTTTGGGCGGAGGCTTTCCGCTTGGCCGACGATGATCGTCGGGGATTGGTTTGGTCACTTCGGTTGGTCCCAGCAGTCCCAGTCGCTCCTGCCCTTTGGGATCGACGCTGTGTCAACGGACAAAATTCTTCCTGACCAAGGGGCAAACTATTATAGTAAATCATCGTCAAGTCGTCGTAGTCAGTTTTTGCCCAATGCAAACTTGCTGGGTCCTCTCATTCACTTTGTGGGGTCTCCAACACACTTTGCCATCCACGACTCCAAATGCTTGCATCTTGCAAGCAACAGAAGTTATAAACACGAAGTGTTGATCTCACTTCTTGCAGCTTCAACACAGCTTCAACCCTCCGCTCCATCGTCACCGTCACTCGCCCCCCCAGTGGCTTCTTCCCACCTCTGCTTCGCCGCGCGCGCGCTTGGGGCGTCGTCCGCTGTGTTCGGTGGCTGCGCGCTGCGACTGGCGGGTGGCTCGGCACCGGAACTCCCGGCACCGGAAGCGCCCAGTTCTGATGGATTGAGGTCATTGAAGGTCATTGGTACTGTCATTGGGATGTACATACATCCATCCTGCAAAAAGTTGATGTGACTTGATGAAAGATGGGCCCAAGGAGGGGGCCCCTCGCACGAACAGTGGTTGGTTCGTCGTCGTACCATCGTCCCAGACCGACTGATGCACGACTGGCTGGGAGACCTACGACCTCCCTGAAGGGAAACCCACCGGAGCAGTCAATGCAAGCTGAGGGCCATGGCGGCCATGGGGTCTCCTGGATTTGAACATACATGGCCCACGCCCCTTGTGTTCCTTCGATTCTCGGCTTCAACTTTGTTGGGTTCCTGGTGCCCCCCTGGTTCCTGGTGGCCGCCCATCACGCGAACAATCAGCCCAGCTCCTAGTTCGAACATGTGTGAGCGTGAGAACATGTGTGAACACGTGTGAACTATAGAGGGTATGCCACCACCAAACCTCGTTGGCATGTACCCCACCTTCTGTCGCGCTGAGGGCGTCGGAATCGAGCTAAGTAGGCCTTGCAGAAAGGGTGGCACGGGGTGGGCGGTAAGTTTGAAGGCCGGGGACTATCAAGGGACAAACATGCTGGCGGTGATGTTAGTATATGTTAGTAACTGTTAGTACCTGGACCCTCCAAGGGGTGTCTATTCATAGCCCCTTTGCTGTTAAGGGATGTCCAGGCACCACCCCTTGAAGGCCCTGGTACATCTTTCATGACCATGTTTTTTTCCATTGCATTTTGGCCATCCGAGTCTTCTTTCAAAGGACTAACGCACCCTGCGCAGGGTCTAACGCACCCGGCCTCCTCGGCCTTTTTGCTCCTCGAGGCTGCCGTCGCCGAGGTGGCCGGGCCACGTGCCGCCAATCGGATCCAAATGGGTATGCAAAAGGAGACATGGATCAACTCATGGGTGTGTAGCTCAAGACATGGGAGACGACCTATCATGATAGGGCCTTCCAACTGGTCTGGGTTCGGAAGGTTTGGGAAATAAACTCGGAAAAAAAAAATTACACCACCGTAGACCCCAAACAGTTTGTGTTTTTCAAAATCGAAACTAGAGCTTGCGACGTCCAGAGCTGGGAGACAAATGTAAAGGATTGCAAGGCAGAGACGGACACAGCAGTACAGAGCGGGCGGACACATCTTAAAAAAGAAGTGAGAAGCCCTAACAGTAAACCTTTTGGGGAATTATTCTTCAAGCGCGAACATGACGCTGGTCATGCTGCTCAGTCAGCAGGGAGCTGACCACGTGAAGACAAGAAACAAAAGCATGAGGAGCGAAGGATGTGACATGAAATTGATTTTTGGCGCCTAACGTATGCCCTCCGCCCCAACTGAACAGAGAGATCGCTGCCACGCGGCCGAAATCCAATCCGGTCATTCATCCAACGGTTGCCCGAAAAGGAAAACAAAGCTGAGAGAGTTACACAGTGTGGCAGGAATGCAATCCCGGGACAGTCACGCACCCCTTGCAAAGGAGCAAGAACCTTTCACAGGCGAACCTGTTCCAGCGGACAGGGCAGAAAACAGCAGTGCAGGCACCAAACCTGAAAGACAAAAAGAAAGAAATCACATGGGAGACAAATGAATAGAAATGCTATATGGCCAGCGGAAAAGGGCGGCAGCACCAGTGAAAGACCCGGGAAACAAATGAATAGAAATGCTGCATGCCCAGCGGAAAAGGGCGGACACCAGCAGTGACAGACCTGGAAAACAAATGAATAGAAATGGTGCATCGCCAGCGGAAAAGGGCGGGCACCAACAGTGACAGACCTGGGAGACTAATGAATAGAAATGCTGCGTGGCCGACGAAAAGGGCGGACACCAGCAGTGACAGACCTGGGAGACAAATGAATAGAAACAGCGGAAAAGGGCGGACACCACCAGTGACAAGCCTGGGGGACAAATGAATAGAAATGCTGCGTGGCCAGCGGAAAAGGGCGGAAATTAGCAGTGACAGACATGGGAGACAAATGAATAGAAACAGCAGAAAGGGGCGGCAGCACCAGTGACAGACCCGGGAAACAAATGAACAGAAATGCTGCATGCCCAGCGGAAAAGGGCGGACACCGCCAGTGACAGACCTGAAAGACAAA